GAACCATTTGAAAACATAAAAGTTGTAGGAAATTGTCTCAATTTTCCAGAAGGAAAAAAAATGAAGGTCATTCAGACTTCTAAAACTCCAGATATGGGTCAAGCACTAAACAGTGCTCAGGTTGTAGGACAGATTTGGACTTCTTTGTTGTTGCTACAATTTGGACTTGAAAGTGGCCTTTTTAAATCTTGGGCTCCATATGAAAATTATAGGCTTATGTCTTACCTTTTCATCCATATAAAGTATATCTAAATTTGAGATCTACAGCTCTCGATATGACCTAATTACCAAATAGTGTTCCAGTTTGGACTGCATCAACATCTCTTTTCTAAGTTTGGCCATCTTTTTGTCCTTTCAATTTCAGTTCTTAAACTCATCAATCAATCCTTTTATTTATGTGATAGGCCTGCATTTAAAATGAACATTTACCATAAATTAAAAGTATCTTATATTATTAGATATGTTATTATAAAACATGCTTTAGTTAAGGAGTTATTGATACTTCAAGTGCAAAATGATGATATAAAACCTTGATAAAAATACACTTTTAAGTACTAATCATATATCACTAATATTAAAAAATATTAAAAATAATTCAAATAAACATAATAATTAAAGTGCTTAAAATAAATAGGTAAGAGAGAGAATTTGCAAACTTGATTTTTAATGTGGTTCAACAAGTCTACATCCACACTCGAAGAACTAAATCATATTTGAGAATTGTATTCTTTTACTTGTCCAAGTTGTAGAGTAACCACTTAATAAATCTACACTAAGACTTTTACACCACTTGAAGATGTTTCCTCTTCAAGATTTGTGTCTCACTTAAAGATATGTTCTCTTCATAAAAAATTCTTTGTGAAAAATATCTTACAAATACCAAGAGTTTTCCCCTAACTCTTAAGGGTTTATAAATATGATTTTTGTTATCATGAATTTACTCTCTTAATAGAGTGAATATTACAATTGAAAATCTTAGTATCTTTATATCTCATTATATAACACTTATAGGATTAGAAAGTGTTTAAGTCTAGTGAGAATGAAAATGTATACTCTTATGCTAGATTATGAAGGTTTGATTGCACAAATGAGTATAATTAAGAATGATGATTTTAAAGTTGTTTTGCTCCTAAATTAACTTGTATATGATATATTTTTAGATTTTCTTGCTAATTTTATAATTAGACAAGCTATATATATGTTTCTACCAAACATTAGTCATGTATAGCCTTTATTGTCCCATTAATGACCAAAATGATTGACTGGTTCAGATTTAGGCCAATCGATCGACTGATTTTTGTAAAATTTTCAAGTGTTCATCATTGATGAATAAGTGGTCTACCGATTCATTTAATCATAACAAATGATCAACCAATTAATGCAGAATTTTATTTTTATCGGTTTTAACCTAAGTAAATTCTTAGAATCGTCTATCAGATTTTTAATCAATCCTTTTAAATAATAACGCATAGTAAAATGTGTGCATTCATTTTAATTGTACTATCAAGATAAGACATATAAATTTATATAAAGCACTAAAATGAACACTTAAATTCTAAGTCTTCACTTTATTTTCTTCCTGGACTTTTTTTATTGATTTTTTTCATGAAATCCTTCATGCTAGTTAATGTGATCTTTGTATAAAAGTTATTTAACAATTATTCTCAACCAAGTATATTATTAGTACAATTTTTATTTTACTATTATCATTTAAATATATTAAAACATAAATGTGTGAAATAGAAGTCAATAGTAATAAGGTATAAATTGTAGGGACAAAATCATAATTCTACCTCTTAAAACTTTAGAATTGGTAGATGGGGAAAAATCATAATTTTACCCCTTAAAACTCTAAAAATGGTAAGTGGGAAATAACTACCAATGGTAGCCATGGTTATTGTTGCTAGCCAACAACATAAGGCATCAACCTTATGTTGTGTCATTAAGCATGTTGATAACATAGCTCTACCATTGTTATTTGAGAATATATAAAATATTTTTTTATAATTCATATAAAATAATAAATTTTCTTTTGATCACTCAAATATTTTCATAGAGTTTATGTTGTACCCAATATCTTTCAACTTATTACCTTTGATCAATGCAATGTGTAGTTAGGATCAAAATATAACATCTCACATATAAGATAACTTGTCGGTCTCAAATCTGACGATTATTTTTCATGCTATGCGATAACACAAAAATGATCAAAACATTATTTTTCATTTTATTTTCTTTGTAATTGCTTATAAAAAATAAAAAATAATATTTTGATTATAACTGTATAAAAAATTAAGAAAAATAATTAGTTGGAGGAAATATAAAAATTGACACTAAAAAATATATATTATATTTTTATTAAATATTTGTGTGCTTGCTTGTTTTATAAAACTTGTGCTTGGAAGTTTCATACATAATCATTAAAAAAAAAAACCTAAATATTATTTTAAATAATAACTTAAGTAAACTATTTTTAAATATAATTATAATTAATTATCTAAATAGAATTTTATTTTAAGATAACTAAATTTAAAAAAAAAAACATACAAGTAACTAGAAAACGAACAAAGGTGCATCTAGACCTAAAATATGGTCTAAATACATTTAGGCCCAAATTCCAGGCCTGCACTCTTGGGTTTTGGAGCGAAGACCAAGTTTTTTTTTCAAAGATAGTGAGTGACGTGTAGTCCATCATGGCAAATAACATGTTACTCTCCTACAACATTTTACAGTCACAGGATTTGTCTCTAATTACAAGAAAATCAATGTCAAAGATTTTAAAACTTAAAAAATAAAATTTCAACCTTTTTTTTCATTGAAAAACATGATAAGAAAGAACATGATAAAAAAAAAATTATGGACCTATAAGACCTCATTTCTAACTACAAAACACATTTTAATCGATCTAAACTCAAAATCAAATCAATTGTTTAAATAAAAATTAAGGCTAGATCTACTTTTTTCAATATTATTAAAGATGAAAATAACTTTCACTTTTTTTTCTTTTAAAGATAAATCCATAAATACAAAAACCAAAATTATTGGTGTCAAAATTCATCAACTCAAAAGCTTTTTCTCTCCTCAACTTTTCCAATGACTTTCCCTTTTTTCTCAATCTTTAAGAATTGAAAAGGTTACATAATAAAATTTAGAATTAAAGTGTCATACCCTAAAAGAACAGAGATGAAATATAAAATCTTGAAATTTGAAGGATCAAATAGAACTTCTATGAGCTTTTTGTGGAAAAGAGCTATGTTTCTTCTTATATATAAATTTTAGTTCTTGTCTCTCAATTTATTTGTTAACAAATAGTGGAAACTCTATTTCATAAAATAAATTGTTAATTTAATATCATAATAATTATCAACACATCAAGTAAGATAAAACAAATCAAAATAAAATTAGCACAAAAAACTATAGAAATGTAACTTCAAACCAAAGTGGAAAACAATAGAAAATTCAAATTTCTAAAAGGAAAGGCTTGGTTATGACAATGGGATAAACAGGTTAATGTAAGAGGATAATTAATTGAGCTAACGTAAATTTCGGTTTCCTTTTAGCTTATGGTGTTAATGAAGTAGTAGCATAGATAGTTATGTCCGTGAGAAAGAGGAAAGGAACATCACAACCAGCTGAAACCCACAAGAATTGATAATCTTGGAAAAGCACGCTCGGTCCCTTTTTTATTAGCTGAACCTAGCACACTTTTTAAATGGATTTGAAGTTCATGAGCAGCCTGGTAAACTACTTTATTATTATTATTATTATTATTATTATTATTATTATTGCTATCAATCAGATATGATAAGACTAGATTCTGTCACACGGACAGATACTCAATTAAGAGATTACTCCTATGAACACATATATTTTTTTTTAATTCCCTTTTTGTTGGCATCCCTTTACTTTTTTAGGCCAAAAACAATAAACAGTACAAATTACGATGAGCAAATATTTCTGAGAATTAAATAGTTTTGGAAACCCTCGTCTACTCTTGTTCTTTTAATCACATATTGGACCAGTTTGCATCTAAAAAATGAATTCAGGTTGCACTTTAAGGTCTTAGAAACAAAATGAAAAGAGATGTATCAACCACCAAAACACCCATCATTAACTATTCAAAAAGAAAAGACAAGACATTTACAACGATACGTTATATTCCACAGGTGACAAAATATTCAGGCTGTAAAAGGAGATAGCTACTCCAAAACTACAACCATCACGATTCAACACCCTTGTTTCCCTTGCTTTAGCCCATAAAGATGTCCCACGTCCATTCTGTCCAGGAGAAAGTACATTAATTCGCTAAAAACAATTCAAGAGAAAGCATATTCTGGAATGTTTTTACAGAGGAAGTGTCGCATCAAAATGGAACAGCAAATGTGCACATTCGAACACTTGCTTGCATGCGCGCATGTGTGCTGTGATCATGTATGTTTTGATTTTGTCCAATACCAAATAATTTCTACTTTGTCATGCACCAAAAGAAAAGGTCTTGCAGACAATCAACCAATAGATATTGATGATCTCATCCCATGTAGCCACAAAAAATGAAATACGTTAATCCAATTTTAACTTAACAAGACATGTGAGGGAAGGTAAAGGGTATGAAGGTGGTGCAGGAACATGACATTTGCAGAATTCACCAGTTGGAAAAATGTTTGTTCTTCTAGAAGCGTGCTCAATTTCACTCGGTCACAGTACCAAGCATAAGCATTGATATTTTATTTTTATTTTTTGGCGTGGGGGGGGTGGCAATTAAAAGAAAAAACTTCATGTCATGAAAAGGTTGTGGTGTGAAACTTACTATGGTGTTGGGAGTATCAAGGCAATAGTAATCATAGATCAACACCCTCATCAAGGCCTTGTGAACCCATCATTACGTTTGAATCTATTTGTTTGTCAAACTTCCTCTTCCTTCTGGCTTCAAATTCTTGAAATCCTTCCATCTAAAGTAATTTTTTGAACATTTCAAAAAAAAAATAAACACAATACTAACCCTGCTGCTAAACTGGAAAAAAAAAAAATCAATCATGCAATAGAGAGCCGAATCTGTCTTGCCTGCTGAAATTGATCCATAGAAATTGGATTGTCATGCAAAGAGATACTCTGGAGAGCCTTACAGTCTTTCAAAAGATTTGGAGGAATCTGTCAACCATGGAATACAACATTGTCTATATATAGCCTGTCTTGTATGACAAATAAAACCTATATTGATGATTCAAATTATCATAATACTTACTCGCAAGTGACAAGCATACACTCAACTGGTAGAATGCATGCATAAACCAAAATATGGACATAAAAAATGGATGAGTCTGTGAAGAGAAGGAAAGAAACTAGTGCTGCTGGCCAGAAAATAGTTAGTGTTCAAATCATTATATTCAATCTAACTAATTTGGATAAATAAATAATTAAGCTCAAAACAGTTAATCCAATTTGATACAAAGCCATTAAACAACTATTATTTCCCAAACCACAGCCTGAAGGTTTGAGTGAGAACTTTTGCAAGTTTTATAAATTATAAATCAGGGGGAAATGAAATTGCTTCTCAGATTAGAAGAAAAAAGGAATGAAGAGAACATTTTCAAGGTTAAAAAAGAAAGGTTATGGATACAAGAAGAAGGAACATCAGCAAAACAGCTATTTGCTTTCAATCGACAGGGAAATAAATATAGAAGAAACTGGAAGCAATTAAAAGAAGAAAGAATGGCATGCACATTGAAAAGATATAATCAACTAGCTCTCCAGAATTACAATTGAAACCTAGTTAGCAACACTCTACAATAGTAGCTATCATTTCCGAGAAAAAAATTAAATACAATTGGTACGCCCAATATGACCATTATACTAGTAAACTGGAAGGCATTCTGGAAGTGGGCCATCATGACTGGCAGAGGCTGGCAGTATCAAATTACCACATCTACCACCATGTACAGTTTCAGAGAAGTTAGACAATATTTGAACTAAATATTACCTGGACCACATTATTATTGTTCAGGGAAAGCGACTTCAAGTGAATGAGATTGCAAACAGATGCAGGAAGATCTTCAATGAGATTATCTGCAAAATTGGCCAAGATAATAAGCTGTGAGAACTCGGAGAAGTAATGGTAGGATAATTGATATCTAGAAGCACTAAAACAGAACAAGCTACTCATATTATTTCTAACTAGGCAAACAAAATCAAATCAATGTGCAAGAAAACAGTTAAATGTATTAAGATCTCATCCAACTCATGGCCATATAATGACACTCCAAACAACCATACAAGTGGTTCAAAATAAGATTTGGATTCGTGAAAGAAAAAATCCATGTGCAAGACTAATATATGAAAAAGCATCCAACTAACGCCCATAAAATGACACTTTATCGAACTATACAAGTTGCCCTCATAATAAATGCAAGCAGCAATTTATGTATCTTGACAAAACCTCTTGGATCATAAAGTTGTGTATATGAGCCTAATGTTAATACAAACACTATCAATAACTTAATCTGTACAACCAAGAAGGTTCTTAAAAATTACCAAGATGTTATGCTTCATTCCTAGTAATATCCAGCGCTACAGTTCTAGAAGCATTTATCTACTACAAACATTAGATCAATTTCTAGGCATGAACATAAAACAAAGATTTATTCCAACCACCAGACACCTTAACCTTTTCCGAATTATTTGAGGGGAGAACCACGAAGGAGAGTTTATCCAATTAGTTTTAAGACAATCAATTTGATTTCTAAACATAATTTACCAGTTGTTAACTTTTGAGAAATCCTTCACAATTGTTGCAAAGGAAAACAAAAAAAAAGGAAACAACATAAGAGTGATGAACAAAAATCCTAGTACAGTAGAATCAGATTATCAGTGAGTTTAGAGCATCAAATTTACATGGAATTTCCAGCAACTTAATCATTTCAATGAGCATTATCCAAATCTAGGGCCTATGCCATCAAATTTTCAAGTTTGTAACAATTATCATGAAAGCTACTGATGTTGGACCTTTTTGCAGCTGCCATATTAGTGACAACCAGATGCCTCTAGGTACCGACAATCCTCTTCAAATATTAAAGTTGAAGAGCTTCATTATCCATGAATGAAAAACAGGTAACAAAGAAAAGGTTTATGGAATGCTTCACATTATATTCAATTACAGTAAATTTTTTGTGCATAAACATCAACAGGGAAAAAGATTAAAAAGAAAACAAAGATATTAGGCTTACCATTTGCTTGTAATTCTTCTAGAGAGAAACAACTCCCAATTGATTCTGGAAGAGTCTTTAACTTGTTATTTGACACATTTAAAAGTGATAACTGCATCATCAAACATTAACTTCTGTCATGGAAGTTAAAGAGATAAGATAAATGCATCATGCTGAAAACCAGTAGGGCCATATTCTTATGAAGTAATAGGGGAAGTATTTTGGTCAATTTCTAACTGCCCATAAGGCAGACTTTCACCTCTCTTAACCATTTGCATCCTCTAACTTTTGTCATGGATTCTATTTTATTTGTTTTGAGAAAAGCTTAGGTCCGTTCTTTTGAAAATCTAAGTATAGACCTTCTCCATTAAAATTTCCTTATTCTCATACTTGGTAAACGTTATGCAATCTCAAATCATTTCATAGCTTAATTCAATATCAACCAAATAGAGCCACTTACATTGCGCAAACTCCCAATCGTCTCAGGCAAGCATGTTAGAATGTTATCTGAGATGGAAAGCCTCTCAAGCCTCACCAGCTGACCCACTAAACAGGAAATAATCATCAATTTAGGTTTTACGCAAGAAACAAGGACAGTAGGAAGTGTGCAGATAATGCCATGACGACTGTCAGATTCAACCACAAAGGTAAAGGAAATAGATTTAAGAAATAATAATAAATCATCTTACTTATTTAGAGAAGAACATTACATTCATCAGGTAAGGAAGCAATTCGATTCCCATCAAGCGTCATAACTTTTAGTGACTGCAGTTTCCCCAAATTCATTGGCAATCGCTCAACAAGATTATCAGCTAAAACCTGAAAAGAGCAAGTTGCTTTGATTGGTAATCCAGGCATTCCATAAGATTAGCTAATATGCTAAAAAAGTACTTCCATACACTCGTGACACTATGACTATGGATGTCACAACTGCTAGAAAAATAATTGATCTGTTCAGAATATGAGAAGCAGCTGTTCAAGCATCAATTCATGAGTAAACTCTCCGGGTGTATGAAAATTAAATAAATGAAACAACACTTTCTTCATGGTTATGGCCCTATAGACTTTGGTAGTCCACCATAAATCAGGACACAAAAACCATTGGCCTTCGTGGTAAGCAGTACACATTCCTATTTAAAATGCAAAAAGTTGCAGATTCAGCCCACAGGAGGGGAAAGGTAAAAAGGAGAATGCCATATCCCATAAATTTCAATTTAAAAACAATTTGACAAATTAAAGCTTTAAGATAACACACAAGGGCTTTTTATGCAAGTTTGTATTTACAATACAAGTTCTCAAAAAAAAAAAGGCAGTTAAAGCTAAAATTTTATAATTCTTACCAGGCGTTGCAGGTTTATCAATTTGCTGATCTCCATTGGAATGTCAACTGCAGTGAAAACATGGCCATCAAGTCTTACAATAACACAGGTGAGGAAAAACTGCAGTTTGTTTTTTTTTTTTTTTTTTCCATTACAAATCCATATCATCTTGACAAAATGGATTTGAGAAAAGCCAAGAAAAGGTAAAAAAATGAAATAAACTATTACCCAATTTATTGTGTGTTAAATCAAGGGTGCGCACCGCTTTGTCAAGATCAAGAACCTCGTCTGGAAAAGCCTGTTAGTGAAAAAATAGAGAATGAAAAGGCATATGAACAACTGCGTTTATACTGCTGATATCTAAACTATCAGTACTCACCTTCTGCAGTAGAAAAAGTTAGTGACTTCTAAACGATTTACTTAACAGTACAGAAAGAAATGCTAAAAGAAAGAATCATGAAATGAAAACATTGAGTATGAAATTCGGATGCGAATTTGTTAGATCAGTCACATGCATGGTATCCATGTTTTACTTATACAAGCATGTGCGCTCCAAAAGGTAGTGATGGAAAGGGGAAACAATCAATCATCATTTCTTTTCTATCAAGTAAATGCTTTAAAATTAATCGAAGCAAAGTAACACCCAACCAAGTAAACATCATAAGTCGAAACCACTTCGCTTAAATCATCGTATTCAGAAAATTAGATATGTCATAATAACATCATCAAAACATAAATAACCATTCATTTCATTCTGCAGATAAACACCTGATTACTAAATTGACTTGCTTGTTCTTAATTTTCTAATCAAACAAAACCCTATATCCTTGTTATTTACTTATTTATTTAACCTTAACAAACAAGAAGGAAACAATAAATATAAAATATATGTGTGTGATTGCCTTCAATTTAGCGTCGCGAAAAGCAACAATGCCGGTAGATCGCCAGCGGGCAATCCTAGAAGCTTTAGAATCCACGTTTTGGCTTGCACAGCAACCCATCTTCTTCGTTATCGTCAATGATGATCAGCTTATGCTTATGTTTAAAAAAAAAGAAAAGGATTAGGTTTTTTAGGTTTAGGTAGAAGGGTGGAAGCCAATTCAAATAAAATGTTTGCAGAAGAAGAGATGGTAAGAGCATGAGTATTAGAAACCACAATCTTAGATGACCGATAGAGCCACCCCCGCCCTCTCCCGTCTCCTCTCCTCCCCTCTAGCAAAACCGCGTTGTTGTTGACTCTCTTTTTTCTCCTCTTTTGCTTTTTCTTTTTCCTTTTTCTCTTGAATATATTACTCTCAATTAATCCTAAAAGTTTGTCTACCTTTTGTTTTAGGATGTTTAAAACTACTATTAAAACTAAAACAAAAGCTAAGAAAAAAGGTGGAGTTCTTCTATGTGTGTACCCTCGTATTTTAGATTTATAGGTGAAATAATTATTTTATCGTTCTAAAATAAAACTATATAATTAAAAAAAATCCATGCTTCTAGGATTTTTTTTAATTTTCATTTTAATTTGAAAATTAAAATATATAAATTATTCTTGAAATCTATTTTATGAGGCCTGCATCTGTGGACTTTTCTGTCATTTCATCTTGATTTTCCTATAATTGTCAAGTGAGGGTGATTTGGTATTTTTCTACGATAAAAGATACAATTAAAACAACTTCTTTGAAGGTTCGTGCATTGCATTGTTTTTATTATAATATTGTTATCTTGGGCCTCTCAGAACCAAGCACATGAAACAACATTCTTTCTTTTTATCTCTCCCAAAACTCTCGAACATGCGTTTGGTCTCACCTTTTTAATTCTACACAATCATTTTGAGACAATTACACAATTAGCCCTGCTAAGGCAACTTATTTCAATACTCCTAGCTTATTATTTATATTAATGCTGCTCAATATTTACAACTCGGACTTCAACTCATCAATGAGTCCATTAACCACATTCCATAACTTGGTTAATATAATAGGTTTTTTATATCAACCGATTTATATATCACCTATTAATCCTATCACTGCGATCAATTCAAATTCTACATTTTTGTCCCATCATTGTCATCAGTTTAATTTTTATATATTTCTCTTGTTATTATAGATAAAAATGTAGTTAAAATTAAATAAAAATAATTTAATATGTTTGGTTAAAAATATTTTTGAAATTGCATTTATAAAATAATTTAAAAATATATATATTAATATTGATGGTTTTTAATTTAAATATTATATATTTAACTATTATTATTATATTATTAAATAAATAATACTTTAAATAAAGTATTTTTTATTGTTTCATTAAACTATCTACAATTTCATCAAGTATGAAATACATCCGACAAAAACTATAATTTTTACAATTTTTTTAAGAGCACAATAACATCAAGTAAAATACAATCACGAATAAAATTGAGATTGCGATCAAATTCTGCAAATACTATGCTATCAAGTGATCTCGTCTGATTTATATAATGTTATTAAATAATGTTTAATACTAGTTTTTCAAATAAAAAACAATTAAAAATAAAAAAATATTTTTTATTTTATTAGATCGGACTTGGTTTAATGTGTTTTTAAATTTAAACCAGACTTAGTCCAGCTAAAATGATAGAAAATATCTTTATTGTTCATGTGAATAGTAAAGATATGCTCCACTAAATACTAAAGCATGCCTCCACTATTCATGGATTTTCTCCGCATATTAAGCAGCATAGAGCTGTTTTTTGTAGGCATATGGAACAGCTATAATTGATGATGGACCTTACTAATAAGAAATTGTTTTTATTACAATATCAAATAAGAATATTTATAACTACGAGTGAATATCAAACAGCATCTTAATCCTGATGTTAAATCACATAAGATAATTATATGATTATGATTGGTTTACTCACATAAAATAGTTTTACTATTGCGGTTGCTTTAATCCTTTAAAGGAGCCCTCTTTTTGGAGTCGGTTTAATTTATTAAAATTAGACCCCGTGTGGCAAACTCAATTTTAATCATTTAATCCTGTTAATTTGGAAGACTTGATTTAATCAAATTAGGCATTCCTTATGTGACTGACTTTATTTCCTTTCTTTCTCGTGTTTTACATGAATTTACATTACATAATTCACTTTGAACTTACGTCACAACATTCATTGAATATAAATTTGCACATTTCATTCTGACGGCGAACAATTAAATAAAAAAAATTATTAATAAAAAAAAATAGTCATTTACTTAATGTTTTTATCAAACTAGCTTCATATATTGAAGTCTCAACTCCAAATACCCCTTTCTAATTCAAATATAGGTATTTTTATTAATAAATTACTATCTTAACTTGTAAGTTCATATTCATACTTACCAATTTTGTCTATACCAAAGCATCTCATACTCATAATTATCCACATTTAATTTCAACATGTTTAAATTTTTATAATTTATAATTTAATTATTTTTTACTACAATTTGCAATTAACATTTAATTTTTTATTTTTTATATAGTACAACACATTTATATTTTCCTTATATCGAGATTTCATAACAAATATAATTTATAAACTTCCATATTAATAAGAAAAAAACAACAATACTAATTCAATTTTTCATCTTTTAATTCAAGCATTGATAGCTGAATTCAAACTCATAAAGATTTATAACTTAATCATTCCAAATGAATCCAACTCAACATGCCAATTCTTTTCAAGCCTATATGCTTAAATTCTCTATTTCACATGCTAATTTAATCTAACTTCATTCAAAGTTTTCTTCAATCCTGCAAAGCATAGAAATAACACAAATTAACCAAACAAAATAATCATAATCGACTTCCCAAATTTCCAAAGTTATTTAAATTAATTATTCAATTAATTTCAATGAAATTCTAATTATTTATAACTTCTATAATTCATTACTCAAACGTGTTAATTTCAATACCAAAAATACAATATACAAATCAATTCAATAATTTATCCCCCGATTAGAAAAATCCCTAACTTTTAAACATCTTCGATCACTTAGTAAGCAAGGAAATCATGTTTTTCTTTTAATTTTGTTTAATTTCATCATTTTCCTTCAACATTTCTGTATTAATGTTCCAAAATTCCCTTCCTAGATTTTCAGAAACTCCCATTTTAATATGTAAAGTATGCAATCATTCAACGTCATATCCCAATTACAACTAATTAGACCTACATATACATTGATTTACATATAATCTCACAATTTACAAAATTTCTCCACATCCCTAGAATCACACTTATAGGTGGCCATTAAAAGGGTTCAAACACCAAAATTTATTCTTTAATTCTTTCATTTTATCTATAATTTAACAATTTCAAGCACCTATTTATCATAATTTCATCCCACAACTTATAACGTCCACAAACATCAATAAACCTTAACAAACAACATTGAGGGTTTCTTTAACCATTTTCTATAAAATTCAATTGAATGAAATAAAACCATCAAATTCATCTTAGCTAACAAAAATTAACTCAATTTGGTAAGTTAGAATGTAGTTTCTTCCGTATTTCACTCGTTTCTTTAAATTTATGTTTCTTCTTTTTGATCCTTCCCTCTATATTCCTAACTTAGTTGTTTTTCTTATATAATATTCTCTCTAAGAACAACCCTTTTAATTTACATCATGAAGAAATGGAGAAAAAATAGAAAAGAATAAGTTTTTCAATGCAATTATTGCCTTCAATCTTGTGACCAACCCTTTTTAATACCTTTTTAAAGGGGAAAATAGTTTTTTTCTTTTATTTATAAAATTACCACTATTTTAATCTTTCTTGAGTAGTTTTGTAAAAAGACACATTCATATATATTTTTCCTGCACTGACTCTTTTACAATATCATTTAAAATTATTTTAATTCACTTGATATCTTTCCTCTACAAGTCATAATAATAATAAAATTCTTAACTTTTATTATTTTTTGTTACAATTTACTCTTCTATGCTCAATTGACTGTCATTATTTTCCATGCACAATTCCATTTCTTATTTTATCCAAGGTTCTAGTTTAATATTTTTTTTCTAAGGATTCAAACATATAGTCATACCACATATTTTCTTTTAAATGTATCATTTTCTCCCTAGTTGGAATTTATGAAATTTATCACGAAGGCTTACAACTCACCTACCAATACTTTTGCATACCACTTTATTATTTAATTCATCAATATATATTTGTAAACTAGCTCACTAAAGACCTCACCTATAATCATAGCATATTTATTATTATTTTTCCATCAAGAATTTCACAACATAATACTAATTCATTAATTTTAAACTAGGGTTTATAATGTGAATGGCAAAGAAGATACCTATTATGATCAATTCTCATAATATTTTTTTACATTTATA